GCGTGTCGATAATGAGGGAGAATGTATTCTAGATTGGATGTTTTGTTTAATCGAAAATTGAACAATCGAGATTGATCTCAATGAAAATTTTAATTTCAATCAAAAGGTTGCATTCATTTTACGATTGTTATCGACATCTGATTCATTGACATAATAGATATTCGATACACAAATATATTTATATACTTGTTTATAAATACCGATGTATAATGTATTATTTGTATGACATTTTTTTACATTATTTTATGCCTGTCATACCTTGGATGTTGTCAATGGCAAAATTTATAGGTTGATCTTTTGTGAAACCATATATCAGTCTTAACAGCTCTCCTACAGTGAAATTTAAATTAGAACCAAATATATTAACCCTTTTCACTCGAAAGTTTTTCACTGGAAATATTCAACATTTTCAACGATATATAGACGACATTGTTTGAAATTAATTTAACGATAATTCACAGATAAATTAAGCGACAGAGTTATTTCATTTAAACATTTCACATGTCAATACAAAGTTTCATTTAGAATACTAAATAATATTCAACTTCATAATTCTGCTGTATCAAATCAATGTTGTGACTGAGAGTCACCTCTCGAGTGGAAAGATATAGACACGTGTCATTTTTAAATTTGTTACTTGAATGTGAACGATTCGAAGACATTCGTCTAATCAAAGGAATATTCTCAAATGTCACCTCTTGAAACGTAATATAATGAAGTGGTATACTTTTCAAAATATAGGACGCGTTTACGTGACTTCGGTACAGAGCGCAACAAAGAAATGGTAAACGTATAAAAGGCTTAACAGGATTTTATGAAAATTTATGCAGCGGCACGTCCCGCAAAACGGCGTGTCTCGCAAAAACTGGTTATCGCCGTCCCTTGACAGCCCATCTTTCCTTTTTACACAAACATTTCTATTCATAAGTACTACCGTGACACCTACAGACCTCATAAAAGGAAGTGATATTTCATCTATTCATTCAGCGACGTAACCCTTGTTAAATCTTTAGTATTACTCTGGCGAAATATGTATTTATATACATATACATGTACGTACGAGTATTATTTACATGATTATGGTGTTCAATAAAAAGCAATTGTATGACCAACGAGAAATCGTAATACTGATCAATTGAACACAATAATTCTAAATTTTTGTTGTTTCAGTAAAGATTTTCGTTCGGAAATAAAATTGTTAGTAGAATTAGTAAAGAGAACAGCATATTAACACTTTGCGTACCGGTCAATTTGAGAAAATTGAATTCTGCGGATGGTAATTTTCAATGAGGTAAATTTATATCACTATAGGAAAACTCAGATATCATATTGTTATGTAATATATTTTAAATGGATAATCAATTGGAATCAAATTTAATATTTTTTTCTAATGCTGTGGTAATTAACAAAGCCTTTATATAAAAACGAGATTTCTCGTTTCCAGTGCGCAATGTGTTAATATTAACACGTTGATTGCCGCATAGAGCAAAATAGCCACATTGAAAAAGTGCAATATTAAATCAATGATTGAATTGCATTATTATTATTGCATGTTCATCTAGCTGAATGTCACCGCATTAGGCAGCATTATATATAATATAGAAATCTTTTCAAATAATCATAATTTAACTGACTGAGTTATAGTAATCCGATTCGATTGGGGGTCACCGATGACCCCCGCGGCATTCAACGTGTTACTATAGGAAAACACAGGTATAATATATAAATTATATATTCATATGAAATAATAAAATATTTGTTAAAAGTATGCATTTCATGTTACGTAACATCGACACAGGCGTGCACAGGTTTTTTGAAAAATCCTCTAGGCGGTATTCATCTAACTTTCTTAGTGGAAACACGAATCCCTTCTTCCTTTTATAACTTAGCACATACGCAACCGTGGACAGGACCGTTGTTTTTCCGGCGGAACGGAAAATACGGATAGAAAAATATTTCAAGGAAGAAAACACTTTTCATTCTCCATGCACGCTCCAGTTTAGTTATTTTAACGGACACACTGGATAGTCTGGGAGAGTGAAAAATTAATGAAAAGGAAGCAACCCGAAACGAAAATAAAGCGTCGAAATTTATCGTTATTTAATCAGTTTAACGTGGAAATTTTAATTATTCTTATTCCTGTATGATGAAACCTATAATTATTGTCGAAATGATGAATATCTATTATCTCAACGTAGATTTCTGCATTCGGAATTAAACTCATCGTATTCGTCCAAGCAGCAACAAACAACATCATTGGTAACTTAATGAATTATTGAATTATTAATGAAGAAAGTAAAAACTAATGGTAGAAGTAATAATATAACGGAACGTGATACGTTAATTGGAAGTAACGATTATTAATATTGTTGTCTTCAGTAAAAGATTTGAATTATTATTACAATGTGCACATGAGTACGTTCGATATACCTGTAGCTTAACTTTTTAAATAAATAGTTACAGATCATTCAACGACTAAAAGAAGTGTATTCGAACGTGTCAAAGGTAGTCCGGAAACCTTAAAATTTGACTAAAGTTTGTGTTATATTTTTCGAAAAATCTTCATAAGCTACATGAAGACATAAAGACTTCAATTTAAATACATTATTTTATTATAATTTACCATCTGTATCTTTCCTAACATTTTCTACATTTTGTTAAAACTCTTATGATAGCGATCAGTACCTACACATTCATTTTTAAATTTTTGTTCGCACAATTTCTTTCACTTTCGTGAAGATCTGACAGGATCTCTTTGAATCTCAGTATTTTAAATATTTCTCTTTCGATTTCGTGCTTCGAAAATGCAAAATTTACGTAAAAATAGTGTACCACTATATTTAAGAAAGAACACAAACATTTCAGTCGCTAATGTAAATAATAGAATTTTCCCAATTGCATGCACTGTATTTTTCATTATAGACAAGCGAGGGATGACAGAGACATTTAAAAGTCTACCAGAAGAATGAAAGAACATTGTGGATAATGCAGTGGAATAAATTTCGATTAAAACAGATTCTATTTACCTTAATTTCGAAAAAGGAAAGTAGTACGAAGAAATCGCATTATTTATGAGACGACCCAACAGTTTCGAAGTGAATTACTAGAATTCTGTTTGTTTTATCGGTGCCGCGGCATCATTGGGGTATAACCCATCCATGGTCATCTATTCTTTATCTCGTCGACATCAACAATGTCCCTAGGAGACTGTTTCCCACCAGCCAGAGAGTTGCTTCCTTTCTGGTCACTGTTAAATATTTACGCTTAACATCCGCTCCAATTTCCACCGTTCCGGCGGTTTCTGGATTGATGTGATCCACTTCCTTTATTTGTTCACAGGGATTCCCTAGCTAAAACTTCTTGATAAGTCTATCTGCTCTGAAAGATATTCATTCTACTTGAAATGTCCAATTTTTATTGATTTACGCAAATTGCCGATGTAATTAACGAAATTGTAAAATAGATCTGACCGTCTTAATAAAATTAGTTCTTGAATGGCTGAATACTATATTAGACACCCCGAAATTCTTTAACATGTACTTTCAATTGTTAGGTCGTAGGTTTTCTACTAATTGTGTTTTAACGTACTATTAGTACGTTTGTTAAGTAATCCTGAATATTCTATACTCGGAGAAAACGGAACTGTGTTTCTAAAAAATAGGTAGTCACTCTTTATCTGCCATCTACGACGTTGGTGTATTCAAATATTAATGTTTTTATTAATATTAAATATTAATACATATTTTAATTTTCGGGGAGCAGATATTTTCGACGACTTTGTGGACAGTGACATTTCGGATTACTCAGTTCTGTAATAATTAATCTTTTTAGAAATTTTTGAACTGCATAACATACTTACGGTGATCTTAATATTAAATTTAATATACGCAACCGACAATTTAAGTTAAATGTTAAAAAGATAAGAGAAGTTGAAATCTTTGATAGTCTTACACGATTTAACATGGAAATATTTCATTTAGAAATAGAAATGGTCACTATAAAAATGACAGGAAAATTCTACCTATCATTGAATTGAATTTTCATGCTTGTTTCTACTGTTTTATAACTCGTGCAATAATAACAAGTATTTCAATTCTAATTTGTAACAGTTCATGGTACAAGCAGAACACAGCTGCTATTGTTTACGTTCAAATCTCATCATTTATAGTTATTATTAAAATATACAGACCAAACAGTATAGCTAAAGAATGTTAAACACAAAATTCCATCAAATATGAGTGTTACACTTCGAATAAAATTCAATATTTACCAACAATTTGTAAATACACCACGTATATCACAAAGATACGTCACCGTAACTCGACGTTTGAATATTTTATCCAATTGATTTCGAGCATTTGAACATTATTGTTTCCATCGGCAGCAAACATGTTCATGAAGTTCCATTCACGTGTCTCGCCCTGTATAGAACAATCGCTGCATGCAGAGGGGAATGCAACCCTGCATTGTAAATTTGCATGTCCCATAAAACAACTGGGCGTGGCGCCCATGTAAAATTCAGGGAACCACCGAAAACGTCTTCATTCGTATTCTCCCCCCTCATCTCTACTCGAGCCTCATAAATATCTCGGAATCGGGAATTGGAATTACGATCAAATTAAGGAACGCTCTTTCTAAATAGATTCATGAATGGATTCTTCAATGGATACGTATTACCCGAACTGTTTCTCTGTACATATTTACATCTACACACTGCGCTCTAAATACTACAGTCGGTCCTTTTTATTCTTATCAGTTTCATAATACCGATTCAACATCGATATCGCGAGAACTGGAAATTCCAAAACGTTTCGATAACCTCCACGAATGTATCAATAAATGGTGGACTATCGTCAACCCTGACAATTTCTACGATAGAACGATAGAGAGAGAAAGAGAGAGAGAGAGAGAGAGAAAGAGAAATGTTTGTTACACGTTTTCAATTTTATCCAGTGCAACATGGTAGACGCTTAACTAAAAATGAACAATCTTTCTTGCAGCATGAAATGAAGGTCACTTACGAAGATTCACAATCTGAAATGTCCCAAGCTACAATGCTGAAGGTATGAATGATGATCATGTCGATTGACGCATTCATCAATCGATATTATCTTGATCTGCGTAGAGCAATACTACTGTGTATTAGCGTTGACTTGAAGCCAATCAGCAACTTAATTAGTCGTAGTGACAAGATTGTTAATTGTGTAGTGAGTGTTAATCTTAAGTTTCCCCCGTTCCATTTTAGTTGTGCAATATAATTCGCACTGTAACGATACACGTTGTGCACAAGATATTCTGAATGATAACGTCAATAGTATCGATGATCTAGCGACCGCACCATGTGTTACAGTTTGTTGTTTTCTTTACCATTTTCGTTTCCCTCTTTCTTTTAATTATAGAGATTTATCACGTCCTGACAGCACAATACCCTTTTGCAATAGTATCCACACCTTACTCGGTCTGTTTATAAGTTAATCTCAGCTTTGGAGAAATGAAACGCGACGGAAGTAATTACTTTCCCTCGCGGAACGGACGGGGCCGTTTCAGGAGACCATTTCTGATATTAAATTTCATTCAACACGATACGATCCGTGAGATCTTCATGAAATATGACTTCGCGCTTGAAGAACACTCTTCCTGTTAAGATGTTCGTTCACTGTTTAACATTGGAAAGCCGTGCTGCTTTCGCTGTCGAGGTGCAACGCGACGTTTCGAGAAGTTTCTGAAACGAAGCTGATTGACGTAACGAATTCGAACTTCGTGGATTTCGTGATCGATTCTTGAAAGATACACGGGAATCCTTTTTGCCTGAATAATGGGTTTGCTCGAAGTTGTGGCAGTTCTGTTTGGACGCCCAATGACATGGTTATCATTCGAATTGGGATAAGTAACAAATAAATGCAATAAAGTAATGGTAGTATTTGAAGAATAACATGATGACGTTTATGAAATGGTTGATCTCTTTTATAATTTGCAAAATTGAAATTTGTGAACGTCGATTCATCTGAATATTAACACGCTGACTACCACGAGAATTTCTAGCATTTTAAATAGTAATACTTATTCTTTAATAACAAAGGTATATGATATTGAAAATAAAAATTAATGATTTAGTATTACAGTAGTCATATTACACTATGATCTAGCTACTTATGTTACTAAATATTTTTCTTTAAAATTAAGTTTTTTTTATTGTAATTGTTCTTCAGCAATTTCCCAATTACTCGAGAACAATTATAACTCGTAAGATAACTGATTTCGAGTAAAAATGTTCAATAACGTAAATAAGTAGATAATAGTGTAACCTTAGAATTGTGTTTCTCTTTATCTTCGCTACAAAAGAATAAATGATACATAAAACGCTGAAGTCTTCCGTGGAAGCCAACGTATTAAGGAAGTTCTATTGGAGGTGTCTGCTAAGTTTGAGCTGAATTCGATGATTGGCTTACGAGACATACTGTCTGTCAATTTGAAAAATATCATTTTAAGAAAAACTTGCAAAAAGTTAAAATTTCACTATTTCAGAGAATATAAGAGAAGTACGAAACAGAAAGAATTCAACTTTATGAAACTGATAGAAATGACAGATTCTTTAGGACGTTTTATGTAACTTCGTCCGAATAATTTTCCATGGAATTGCAACAGGCATTGTTAAAGAAATTCAGCGACCACGAAATAAATCAACGGATATACAGAATTTCATTTTTAATCACCTGGAAAACAAGCATGCATGAATTGATATATGATTGGCGAGCATGGGATAATTGTTTCATGTTAATACTACGGATTTTGTGCATTTATAGTCAATATTATTGAGTTTAACAATTCAATCACAGCAGCAACGTAGACTGCGAATGTGTTTAACACGTTGAATGCCATGGGGCTCACCAATCAAGTCGAATTACTATGGTTCATTCAATGAAACGACGACTATTTTTAAAACATTTCTATATTTTAAATAATATTACCTAATACGGTGACGTTCAGCTAGATGAACGCGCAATAATAACACTGCAATTCAATCAAACGATTCAATATTCTGTTTCTTCCATTTTGTATATTTTGCTCTATGAAATTGCGGCATACAACGTGTCAAAATTTGTTTTTGTAAAAATAGAAAAGCGTAATGCAGTTTCTGAATTAGCCGCGATCGCGCCGCTATTTTTCGACCGGGCCTTTGCAAAAACTGGCGGAACTCAAACAGTTAATATTTTACTTTGATACCTTAAGTTTCATCAATCTCCTATTACGCATACCTATTCAGTTTTCTAATGATTTTGTTCAATTCCATTGAAACCAGACAGCATTAACCTACTGCACCGGCTTACGAAACACTGCCCTGTCCTGTTTGTATCCGATGGCATTGACCTATTTCACTTGTTCATCGAGCAGTGATATGTTCTACTTGCCCGACGCGTGTATTTCTGCATATGTACAGAAAGGGAAGATCTCAAAATAAACCGCGAATGTAAAAAACATTTAAGAAGGATTTATTTTTTGCACGCTGCAATGTGAAAGAACTGAGTTTTGTAGTAGGTCAGAGAATCAATTGGTGGTGTATTTCGGGAAAAGATGATTCCACAATTAATTATATTTTATGATTACTTATAATATATATATATCATCTATATATAAATTATTATATATATTTTTATTATTTAATAATAAAATAACTCGTCTATATTTTGTTACGTGTCATTTATTCAATTTTACAATATAAATTAAGAATGTTGAATAACATTTTCTCATGCTAATCCTCGTTCATGTTCCTTTTATTAACAATGATAATAAACGATGTATTTTGTCAATAGAATATTTGTGAAAAATAATACATCATCATCAAATAATCAAATTTCGAATAGAACATTCGAATTGATCAATTCGTTTGTAGCATAAAATGAAACAATTGCAAATAAAGTAAATTACAGATTTCAATCTCAGTGCGATCATGAAATAATACTTCCTCCATATCCTGTCAGTAGGTGTACAGGTTAAATGAATACACGCGCGCCGCTATTATAAATGTCATTTTGCCGGGCCGACAAATTTTCAAACGAAATGAACCAAATAAAATGCACCGTCGAAAGTCGATTTCATCGTGATCGATATAGCCGCGTTACACGCGGATTTATCGACGTGTCAGAGATCAAACTGGTAACCGAGTTTTCGCAGTCCAATTTTCCATAATATTCTGGAATACCTGCGCGTGTTCAATGTTGCGCGGCTCGTGTAATGGTTTCGGAAACGGAACGATTGGCAATTCTCATTCCTCCCTTAACATTAAAAATCTCATTTCCGGCGAATACGTTCTACACGCCGGTGCAACAGTGGTGTTTGCTTTGAGGTTTTCTATTGCAACGGAAGTACGCTACGTAGAATGCAGCGTAATTCGTACTACGACCGAAAAGGTAACGTTTATTTGCGCAACAACAAGCGAAAAAACGGAATTTGTTCGCGCAACATTTCACTTTGAAAGAAATCTATGTTGAAAAAATTGGGAACACATCAACGTATACGTTTCGTTTTGATGCGCTGTGTAATCTTTTCATTTCGTTACTGTTATTTACGTTTCGTTTTGATGCGCTGTGTAATCTTTTCATTTCGTTACTGTTATTTACGTTTCGTTTTTAAATATTCTGTTTTATTTAGAATACTCAATGTGGTTTTACTTTGTCTTTGGTTTGTTGAAGAGATTTATAAAGGAAAGGACTGTTTAACATAAAGTTTCTTAGGTTTCCTAGTTAACGATGTTTATTTGTATGAATTATCGTCATTAAGAAGTTGCTTCTATAAGTGGAATTCGATTAATTTGATAGGTGTTTTAGTTCAAGAAGCATTGTGAATTATATTGTTATAGAATTCTCTGGACCTTAAGAAGTAATACAGTGTTCGATTTCTTGGGATGTTTCTGTAGAACAGAATCTTTCCGACTAGTTGGATTTTCTTCGTTGTGTCTATTCCTCTATTCGTGGACGACGTTACGATACGGAACATGTCACGTATTTGAATATAATTGTGTTACCTGTTAAAAAAGTAGAGGAATGTGACTGGAAGAATGTTTGTAATATTGTATATCGTAC